AAGGGGAGCAAAGACATGACACCACGGCTAGGGAGCATGTGGCATAAAGAAAAAAGTGTTTTAAGATGTGAAATATTACAGCACGTTTATATGCTGATGGCAACGATCCAGTAGGGGGCAGTGCATGTAGGTTAAGAAAACTACATTAGGCAGAAGGGCCATAAATTCTTCACATGGCTTGAAAAGCAATAATCCCTAATTACACAAAATGCTGATTAAAAAAATAAAAGATATTCACTTTCTAACTTTCAAAAATTAGAATGATTCTAGTAAATGGGTAAAAGAAATCTTACAGGCATATCTGTAGTAATTAGAAGTTGGTCCAAAGCAAAAGAAATGGTAAAACCTTGAGAAATATCATTTTAACATGCAAAAGCCAAGAGTTTATCATAAAAATGCCATTTAAAATATCATTTCATAAAACTGGCCTTTCTAGATGATGCAATACAACTCAAGATAAAAATGTCTAAACTTATTCTTTTCTCCAACTCCCACGAGCAGGATATACTTACAGGCTGCACTGGTTTAGTCTGTAAAATTTGTGCCTCGCCACACAGAGTCTCCACATGTATTTTGCTGTTTCCATGTCTTCCTGGTAATAAAATATGCATAAAATAGATGAAAGCACATTCACACCGTGATACAGAGTTTATCTGGGGACAAGACGTAATTATGTCAAGTCACTTTTAACACACTGGGACTCTTTCATTTTCTAATACTGTGTCTTCACAGGAATGTGAAGGATAATTAGGATTTAAATTATGAAGACAAAAAAAATCTATTCAAACAGTGTGATTCTTGTATTAAACAGCTTCAAAATGACTTAGAAATTTAAAAGTTATGAAAATGTCAACTTTCATTTTGACAAATAGATAACTCAAAGACATCTTTATTTTTTTTTAAATATATTTTATTGATTTTTTACAGAGAGGAAGGGAGAGGGATAGAGAGTCAGAAACATCGATGAGAGAGAAACATCGATTAGCTGCCTCCTGCACACTCCCTACTGGGTATGTGCCCGCAACCAAGGTACATGCCCTTGGCCGGAATCGAACCCAGGACCCTTGAGTCCACAGGCCGACGCTCTATCCACTGAGCCAAACCGGTTAGGGCTCAAAGACATTTTTAAACAAAACATTTGACTCAGTGACTCAATACTGCCATGTGTCAAGGGAGCAAAAGCAAATACCTGTGAAATGATCTTTCTACAGAGCCATTCACTTAATGGAAATTAAAATATTAGTGCTCACTTTCTCCCCTATGTAGGTGCTTAAATTTAGTAGTTATCTTAGGATTCATTCAACAATATTCACTGAGCAATTACTTTTGTCAAATGCACTATTATGACAAAACTACCATTATGTAAAATGTTATAAAATTTTACACTTTATAAAACTGTAAAATACTATCATTTTAATGCCACCCACCCCCACCTCCCCCAAATACACACACAGAAACGCTAACGTGTTAACTTTCGGGAAAAACATTCCATGCTATTCCTACTGCCCACTCACCGTTTGAAACTGGATGGTCTCCTCTTTACTCGCCAGCTCTAAGGCAAAGAACGACTTATTGTGGGACATGTTAGCAATATCGTGCCACCTAGAGAACAGCAAACAGAAAATGGCAATATGAGTGCTCATGCGTACACCAAGGAGGTGGAACATATGATTTCCATGTTTGAGCTTGATACATAAATTAATATTTGATTGTCTTGGAAACAAAACAGTTGTTTTAATCCTCTAGCATGCATTTTCTAATTGAAGTGATAACACATAGCCGCAAAAAGTAAGTGCAGGTATACTAAACAAGGCCAAAGGATGCTTGAAAATGTAAAATATATTTATTATATTTATCCCCATTTGTCAGACTAGTTAGATCAAAGATCCCTATATTAGCTGGTTGCCAATGACCCCTTCCTTCATTCAGCAAACATCTTACAAAGATGCATTATGGCAAGGTCAGAAACTATGTTAGGTCCCAGGGACACCAAGGTCAGTGGGGCTCAGTGCTTCCCTAGAAAGGCACACACCTGGGTTGCAGGTTCGCTTCCCATTCCGCGTGCGAGAAGCAACCAGTAGATGTGTCTCTCTCACATTGATGTTTCTTTCTATCTCTCCCTCCCTCCCTCCACTCCCTCCCTCCCTCCCTTCCATTCTCTCTAAAAAGCAATGGAAAAAATATCCTCAGGTGAGGATTAACAAAAAAGAAAGAAACAGCCCTAGAAACCAGAGCTCATATGAAAAATTCACATCAAAAGAAAGAACGCCTCCATATGGGAAGAAAGGGACGCATTTTTAAGAATTTCCTAAGTCGAGCCCCATTACAAGCACTATTTTCTGCACATCTGGCTTTGAAGAAAGCGGCGTACAAAAAGCACCCGGCAGTGAGGTGGTATTTTATCCTCGGAAGGGCGTATTTCCATCTCCCACTGAGACCTGGGGAGATACTTATGAGCAATATAACTAACATCGAAACTAAAAAGTAGCACCAACAGGAGCCACAGAAACTGCACAGAAAGTTGTAAGAAAAATACCGAAATATCACAGGAGGCCTTCCGTTCTTGTGTTTCACAAAGATGCCCTCCAGACAGGCTCCGATGGAAATGTCGCTGCCCTGGCTATCCTGGAAGGAGAAGGACACACTCAGGCGGCAGGTGCACAGCAGCCGCAACTGCACCCCGTTCCCTGAACCTGTTTCCCAGACATGAAACGCTCGGAAGACTCACAGGATAACTATTCTGAAGGGGGGAAGTCTGAAAGTTATGAATGTGTCGTCTTGTAAGCATATGTGGATATAAGAAGAGATGGACCCCTTAAGGAACTCTCTCTCAAGAGCATTCAGAGAGCCCTAGCTGGTTTGGCTCCATGGATAGAGCGTCAGCCTGCGGACTGAAGGGTCCCAGGTTTGATTCCGGCCAAGGGCATATGCCTGCGTTGCAGGCTCGATCCCCAGTAGGGGTCCTGCAGGAAGCAGCCAATCAATGATTCTCTCTCATCATTGGTGTTTCTATCTCCATCTCCCTCTCCCTTTCTCTCTAAAATCAATAAAATATATTTTTTGAAAAAATAGCATTCAGAGAACTGCAAATCAGGAATATGTTTGCTGCGTCACCTTGGCCACAAGGACCTCAACTTTGAAATGTCCAGAACTTTGCACGATGTCGGCCTTCGCACAGCAGGCCACCCTGGGCTTTCCCCGCGATCCTCCATCCTCCGGGAATCGCTGAGACTAATTTTGGAAAGCCCCGGCCTCCGTGTCCCACTTACCTTCGCAGGGTAGCTCTCTTCTCCGTAGCCTTCCATCCTCTCCACCTCCTGCATGTACAGCATTTCCGCCTCAGGAGCTGCGAGCCCTCTGCAACCCAAACGATGTCAGTGAGATTAGCCACAAAACTAAAAACAAACAAGCAAAACCACGGAGCTTTTCTAAAACACTGCATATGGATTTGGCCTAAAACAGTATAAACATTTCAAGTTTCTAAGCATCTGCCATCGGTTATATCAGTCCAATATTTACTGAAAATTGGCTACATGCAAAGCATGGTGCGGCACACTGAGGTTAGTTATGGAAGATCCTCTCCCTGCGCTTTAGACAGGCGAGGGGAACGCAGGGAATAAGACAACCCCTGAAACATCTTTGGGAAAAGCTAGGATTCTTTCCAAACCACTGAGTAACTGCTTACTATCCAAACTATCAGGGGATACTAAGCACCACGTGCTCAATGCCAAATTATAAAAGTGCGGAAAGTAAGAGTTAGGACAGTGATTCCCAAAGTGGGCGCTACCGCCCCCTGGTGGGCACTGCAGCGATCCAGGGGGGCGGTGATGGCCACAGGTGCATTTGTTTTAACTTTTTTTGTATTACCTTTCTATTCTGAGTTCAATAAATAGTTTCATAATTTCAAACTTCAATGTTTCTAATTTACACCTTTCTTTACTATATTTTACGAAAAAGGTAGAAACATTAATACATATATCTTTCTGTTTAATTGCTATTAAAATTTAAAAAATATTAATTTCCAGGGGGCGCTGAGTAATATTTTTTCTGGAAAGGGGGCGGTAGGCCAAATAAGTTTGGGAACCACTGAGTTAGGAGGACGGAAATCCTTTTTAGCTCCAGTGACACAATTACAAGGATGGGTAGGTAGGAAGGGGGTGTGGGCAGCGAAAGTGCTCAGCTGCATGGGAACTTGCCTCTCCAGCCTCATCTTCGCTGCTCCCCCACACCCACAGGGCACCCCACACCTCAGCCATCCCCAACTCTGCCTTTCTGTGAATACACCACGTTCCCTCAGGCCCTGGGCCTTTGCACGCACTGATCCCTCTTCCTAGTATACCTGTCACTCACCTGTGCACCTCTCCTTCAAGGCTTGGCCTCTGTACCCATCACTCCTTCTCTGTCACCTGCTGTGATCCCCGAGTCTAGGTCAGACATCCCCGCTCTACACAAACCCACCACATTCTGTGCACATTTCCCACTGCTCCCATATTCCGTTCTGACTATTCTAACTGCCTGCTGGTGGGTTGTCCTGCCTACCCCTTAGACTGCAAGGCAGGAAACACATCCTCTGATGGCAGGGGATTGTCCAACTTATCTCTGTGCCACTACATCTTTAAGGGGATGCACAAATGAATGACTGAAAGTAACAAAAGACAAGGCGATGTAGGCCTGAGGGATTAATTGTGCTGGGGGGGCGGGGCGGGGCGCATGGTTCATTTCGGGCAGAAGGTAAAGCTGGAAAGGCAGGATTTAACCAATTCATAGGAGGCCTTTAATCCCAGGGGCAATTAACTCAGGCTAGTGAAGAGCAAGAACAAGTTCATGAGCATCTGAGAAGGGGGGTGGGGTGGGGAGAAGAGAGAGGAAAGTGATGTTTTAGGAAGATTAATCCTTTGTGAGCGATTGTATGGATTTGAGTGAGGGGAGACCAAAGGTTATTTTTAATGGGAGGGGATGAACAATAGGTTATAATTAGACAGACCTGGGTCCAAATCCCACCTCTACCTCATGTAACTTTGGGCAAGTTATTTAGTCTTTCTGAGCTTGGCTTCCCCAATCTGTAAGGAGATAATAACATTGACTTAAAGAGTGGTTATAAGAATGTAATGATATATCACATACTTGGAACTGTGCATCTGGTTTAGAATGGAGACCTAGCATTCTCCAGGTGAGGGTTTTTCTTACAACGTGTACAGATTCACAATCCAAGAAAGTCATTGTCTACCCGGGACGGTAGGTCAGGGCAGTAAGCATCGTAGCTCTTAGCACAGCTTCCCCGGAGGACAGAGATACAGCTTCCAAAGGTGCAGAGGAGAAAAACCCTGTACCTGCTGCATCACATATGAAAAGAAGCCCCTCCAATTTTGAACTAACCTACACAGGACTCGGTTAGCACCAAACCTTTCATACTCGGGGTGGAGGATGGGCACCCTTTCAACGTTCTCAGCCTCCTCATGGGGACAACATGGATAATAGATGAGGTAATATGGTAAGTGCTTGGACCAGCACTCGGCACAGTGAGTGCTATGAAAATGCGGGGACTCTTAGGAGGGGTAGCGGTTGCAGCAGCAGCAGCAGCAACAGCAGCGTTAAGTGCCGAATTTCACTGTGTTAACGCACATTTCAAGTTCAAACAGGCACTGTTTCCATACCATTGCCCTGTCTTATTTTCTTAGCATTACCTGTACTTCTGATGCAGTAAGGCCACTTTTTGGGTTGCTTCTTCCAATACCTTTTCATCTTGTAGCCAGCCCTGAAGAAAACACACGGCAGTAAGTATGTACACAAGTCACCCCGATTTCTCAGGAAGATTCGTTGCTGCTGACTCTACCCAACTCTCGTCGCCATCAGGCAAAAGCAGGGCTGGTCGGAGTGCCAGGGAGCTTGGCTTCAGCACGTCATCATGGTCTCCCTAAGGCAGTGGTCGGCAAACTGCGGCTTGAGAGCCACATGCGGCTCTTTGGCCCCTTGAGTGTGGCTCTTCCACAAAATACCATATGTGGGCGCGCATGTACAGTGCAACTGAAACTTCGTGGCCCATGCGCAGAAGTCGGTATTTTGTGGAAGAGCCACACTCAAGGGGCCAAAGAGCCGCATGTGGCTCGCGAGCCGCAGTTTGCCGACCACTGCAAGAAATTTAGTGCCTTCTGCTCAGGAGCCAAACACTCGCCCTGCCTTTTCCATTCAACCTCAGAGCAAGTTCCCACTGGGCTATGTCCGCTGGTAACATCCATGGGCAGTTGCCATCCCGGCACTATGACACCTGTGCCCTCCCGCTGGCTGTGCAGATGCTCAGAAGAGCATCCCTCCCCGGGTGGCCCCAGGGCAGTATTCTTGCCAAGGGGACCAGTAGTGACTGTACCAGAGTGGAAGGCAGTGTCCTCCCATCATCTACTTTTTAAACTGCTAATGAGAAGCCAAATTTATTTCAACATAATTCTGTGAGGTTTCAAGCCTTCGGTTAAAAGCAAAACCTCTCGTGGCTCCTCAGAAGCGGGAAACGAATCCCTCTCTTTAGACTCAACGTCCAAACGTAAGACAAATGTCTCTGGCGACAGCCCGGTGACTGCAGACCCTCCCGTTTCCGTGGCTTTACCACAACCAAGAAAGGTGTTACAGGAAAAAAACTTACACTTGTGTGTTCATCGGAGGGAACCGATTTTTCAGTACTATTCCTGACTGTAGAGGGCCCCTGGGAAGGCACATGGGCATTTCTTTAATAAATTGTCAGCTGAATCCAGGGCGATAGGAAGAGCCATGTCCTGGATACTCGTTTTGCCAAAAAGGCAGAAGTGTTCTCAGCTTGACCTTCATTTTGCCCAGGTGCCTGGGAGTGGGTTTTATTATGTAAATCCAGCCAAGCACCAAGAATGAAGAGCCCACCCAGAACTGACCTTACAAGAATGCAAATAAGCTCCTTTGTCTTGACCTTTGGTGAAACTTCTGGTATTTTGGGGTATATAAAATAAACATGCTGTTTTGGTGCTGGGTCCCTGTCTCTCCAGCAGAAGAGGACAGCAGTCCCACCCAGTCCCAGCTTTTTTCTTCCATCTTTGTGTTCTGTCTCTTTCTTTCATATTCTCAATCCCCAGCCGCCCCTACTCAAAGAACCAGACCACTCTCTAGCCGCGCTGGACGCGGAAAAGAGAGACCCCTCCATACCTGACTTCATTTCAGGGAGTATTAAGGGCATGGAAATAAACTGTTTATACAAAGGCCCAATGTCAAAAGGAGTCTTACCACAGGAAATAAGGCAAATTTCTGAAGGAAGTCCTGGGATTCATACTGATCAAAGTCACCAAAATCAGCTATACAAAATGACAAATATTCACATGTCAGTTATGTTTCATTTGCATAGCAACGCATGCTCAACTATACCTGATACATCGTATGTAGATGGTGTGCTTATGATTCAGAAGTCAAATTTGCATTATAGCTATAAAGTATACATTTTTAAAATATCGTTCTTAAAGCATTAGTGAGGTGGACTCATGTTTCTTGACTTGGAAAATGCCTATTAATAAAGTGAAAAATAAATTACAAACTGTATGTAATGTGATCTCATCTTTATAATTAAAAATCAAAACTGCCCTATAATCATGTGGGCTTACTTATGCACAGAAAAATGTCAGGAAGAAACCAAAGTGTTCACAGTAGTGATTATACCTCTCGAGAATGGAATCAGATCATCTGAATATGTTACAGCAAGATGTATTGGTTTAGAAAGTTTTAGCTCTTAAATATAAATAGATAGTTTGGCAAAAAGTTTATGAAAAACCAGCTCTTAAAGCCAAAGATGACATGTAGGAAGAGTCAAAGGGCTTTGAAAAGGAATGTGGTTTCATGTGTCAGGCAATTGTCTAGAAATGATAAAGGTCTCCACGCCTGCTAATACCTGAAGAATTTTATTAATAATTCTTCTGACTAAATTTCAATTCCCAAGATTAAATGCCAGTTATCATATGAAACAATGCCCCATCAGAAGTCTTCCCAAGGTAAATATATCCGTGTAAATACATATCGATTGGGCATAGGAAAAATGACAGAATTAAACAACCCAAAAAACTACCCGTGAAAGGCAAACTTGATCTGTTATGACTGATGATGCTCTGTAATCCAGGAACACTGTTTAGGACAGTGGTTGGCAAACTGCGGCTTGAGAGCCACAAGCGGCTTTTTGGCCCCTTGAGTGTGGCTCTTCCACAAAATACCACGTGTGGACGCGCACGTACAGTGTGATTGAAACTTCGTGGCCCATGCGCAGAAGTCGGTATTTTGTGGAAGAACCACACTCAAGGGGCCAAAGAGCCGCATGTGGCTCGCGAGCCGCAGTTTGCCGACCACTGGTTTAGGAAACCAAACAAGTGACGAATGCCTAAAGTAGAAGTGATCATAACCTCATCAACCTCACTGTTGGCTGATCTTTCTTCCTAAAATATTAGCTAGCAGCAAAGCAAGAGAAATACATAGCAGGCAAATGCTCTGTGTATTTTTTTCCTCTGTTTCTCTATTGACATATGAGAACATGTTTATCCTTCCAGAAGTCTCCTTTCATTAGAGAATCCAAATTCATTCTTCCCACAAGGAAGCCCCTTTGGTAACAGAGTAACATTTCACCAACATATTTACACTACTATAGAAAGTCTGTTACTTTAAGGATTCCTTGCTGTTTTCGTTGTAACAGTTTTAATCTGATAGGTCAGGTACAGTATCAGGTGTCATCATTTACCTTGAACAGCCAAGCCTGCTAGTTGAATTGCTTGTTCTAATGTACATGGAATGTTTCCTTCCAAGATATCTTTCTTCAGCTGCAGATAATACTGATACCTACAAAAAAATGTCAATTTTATTTTATTTTTTATTTTATTTTTTTAAGGGGAGAATGATGATTTTTCTTATTTTTATTTTGTTTAATATATTTTATTGATTTTTTACAGAGAGGAAGGGAGAAGGATAGAGAGTTAGAAACATCGATGAGAGAGAAACATTGATCAGCTGCCTCCTGCACACCCCCTACTGGGGATGTGCCCGCAACCAAGGTACATGCCCTTGACCGGAATCGAACTTGGGACCCGTTAGTCCGCAGGCCAACGCTCTATCCACTGAGCCAAACCGGTTAGGGCAAAAATGTCAATTTTAAAAAGTTAACACCAACATTAGCTCCAATTGAGACAATGCATTTTACCATAATTTATTAGAGAAGCATAAACTAGACAACTGAAACCTTAAGCCGGATGGTTTCAAAGAAAGACAAGAACATCCTTGACCGTACCTACATCCATACCTACACACACACACACATACACACACACACAGACACACACAATGTAATCAATTTGTTGAGTTACTTCTCCTTAACTGCAGTTATTTCAAAGCTATAACCATGTAGAAGACAACTGGTCATCTATCTTATGCCCCATAAGACAGACAGTCCCTACATACTGTCCTTGTTAGTTGGAGAGAGACGCCATAGGCAATCTTTACTTTAAAAACTCTGCCTAGTAACTTGGTAACATAAGACTTTGCTTACTCTGGTGGAAGTTCCCTAGCCGTGGAAGATAAACCCAAAAGAAAACGATTCCTGATATTTCAGACCAAGTTTATATTGAAATTTTTTTGGATGAAATCCCTAAAAGCATAGCTGCTAAATGCTTTCTTAATATTCTTGTAAAATGAGTTTACTTATTATTACACTTTCAATATTCGGGGCACTGGTTACCAGCGCAAGCTTTAGTCACGCAGAGCTAGGTTGCATTCCAGCTCTCCAATCAAGCATTCTGCAGGAATCTGAGCAAGTCGTAATCTATGGGTTAAATTGTCACTGGCAAAATGGGAATGCTATCATCCCTTCACAAGGTGGAACGTATTCAAGGAATATATTTTAAAGCTTTTAGCACAATACTAGAACACAGCTGGCACTCAAGAAACCGTAACTATTATGATTGTTATCAGCAATCATCTACTTTAAGCCAGTCACCAATAGTTCATGCTATCACTTCATGAAGATCCACCAACTCTGCCAATACGGTCCAGAGAAGTAACGCCTTGATAAAATGTAGCCTGCAAACCTGAATTCAGAACTGTTTAAACCAAGGAATGAAAAAGACTGCACACGTCAATTCTAAAGCAAGCATTCCATAAACTTGCCCAAAAGCCAAATATGCTGATTAAACAAAAATATCACCTAAAGCCTTATCAACTTGTCAACTTTCTAATATAAAGTATTTTTACACAAAAATATTACATCAATACCTCATGATCTCACTCACTTATGGATAATAAAGAACAATTAAATAATTATAATAGATTAGGTGCCTCATTTTGCACAACAGAAATTTTAAATAATGTGCAGCAGGTAGTTTTCACCTGTTTTTCTTAGGTTAGTAATAGAAGGCTAACGTACAGACATTTTTATTTTTATATATTTGTTTTATTATAGAAATTTTGAAAGATATACAGACAATAAGTACAAAATCTCCCATAGCCCTAGTATGCAGCCTCACCAATCGCCAACTTTATGCCTACCATGTCTCCTCTATGCTCTCCCCTCCCTGACCCCAAGTGTTTTACAGCAAATCCCAGATGTACCATAGCAACTACAAATACTTCAGTATATATCCCTACCAAATTCATTCTTCCCACAAGGAAGCCCCTTTGGTAACAGAGTAACATTTCACCAACATATTTACACTACTATAGAAAGTCTGTTACTTTAAGGATTCCTTGCTGTTTTCGTTGTAACAGTTTTAATCTGATAGGTCAGGTACAGTATCAGGTGTCATCATTTACCTTGAACAGCCAAGCCTGCTAGTTGAATTGCTTGTTCTAATGTACATGGAATGTTTCCTTCCAAGATATCTTTCTTCAGCTGCAGATAATACTGATACCTACAAAAAAATGTCAATTTTATTTTATTTATTTATTTTTTTAGAGGGGAGAATGATGATTTTTCTATTTTTATTTTGTTTAATATATTTTATTGATTTTTTACAGAGAGGAAGGGAGAAGGATAGAGAGTTAGAAACATCGATGAGAGAGAAACATTGATCAGCTGCCTCCTGCACACCCCCTACTGGGGATGTGCCCGCAACCAAGGTACATGCCCTTGAC